TAGAAAAATAAGTATGTATCATGCATGGTATGAGGCTAAGTAAATTATCAAAAAAATGTACATTTTGGTTGAACTGTCCCTTTTTAAGATAATCTCTTCGTGGATCTAGATATTGGGTTACTTCTGCGTCATGTGTTGGAGATCTACGTCCAAACCTCAACTATCCAAAACACGAGACCCTTGTTCTTTAGTCACAGTCCACACCCGGATACCTAATCCATGATTACATCTGTGTGAGAGTGAGTGTGTGTGCACCAATCCTCTAACAAAAGCTCCAATATCTGTTCAAAATTATCTTGTTTGTTGACCTTTATCCATGTGCCTTTCCATATAAATGTGTTCGCCAGCACTGCATTACACTTGATTCAGTTTGTCATATATAGACACAATATCCACTTATCTCAAATTTGTCTTGTGGTTTATTTTTATCTCCTATTCCGTGTCCATTTTTTAAATGTAATTGAAAGATTTGGTATTGTGTCCTCAGTGCCCCTGGCAGCGTATAAGTGGCTGGTGTGTTTCTTACTGGGTGAGAGCCAGAGGAAGCTGTTTCAGGAGAAATCTTCCGGACTGGGAGACTTTGAGGCCCGAAACAACAGCCAAGTAGGTTTTAATTCTGCACTTTAATAAGATAAGACATTAAAATGTATGTGTCTTTGTTTACTGGCAGCTCTGTGGGTTGTGGGGTAGTCTGTATTTTGTACAAATACTCTGGTACCTCAACATACCTCACATTTAATCTGTTTACAGTACATCATCTTAAACTGATTATATTTAATGACCTCATGGAAACTTATAGGCCATAGACCGTTTAACTTCAGACCTGAATTATGTTCCAAGTTTCTGAAAAATGAAGAAGTATGATTTCACAGATCTTGAGGCTCCTATAAATGAGACCGGATTATAATAATAAAAATTAAGACTCTTTAAGTGTATATATTTTGTCCATTTCGATGGACATCAGGGGCCTCATGTACGAAGACTTGCGTGGAAATCTTACTAAAACATTGCGTACGGACAAAGCTGTAAATGTGCGTACGCAGAAAAAAATTCAGATGTATGAAACACTGCGTACGCCGAATCTCACGCATATTCTTTTGTACATCCGAATGAACGTGAAACTGAGCGCAACATGCACGAGCACAAAACCCCTCCCTGCCTCCTCCCCCGTATGAATATGCTAATGACTATGCTAATGGAAAAACCCAACGAAAAAGCAAAGGCAAAATCAAACAAAAAGAGAAACTTTGAACAGAATGTGAATTGAAGGAGCTACTTTCGGAGGTAGAACGGAGAAAAGCGGTGTTATTTGCAAGTTTGTTCTCCGGAATTAACAACAAAAGAAAAAAATAGAGTGGGAGAGTTTAGCCTTTTCCTGCCAGAAAGCTGCCGTGAACCTGCGCACATTCCCACGTTCAGTTCATTGTTAGTAAATCCAAACGTGAGCGATTCTGAGCGTGAAACCTGGCGTACGCAAAGTTTTTGTGCGTACGCAGCGTTGATACATGAGGCCCCAGGTCAGAACAGTTATACTTTCTGAACATTATACCAACATAAAACACAAAAAAATGTATGATTGCTGGTGTCATCTTGAAATCTATTTTTACAATCACAAACATTAATATTGTAGTATTGTAGATTTTTGTTGTATAGATTGCACCTTGTTTATAAAAAACTTTATCTTCATCTTAGATATTTCCATCTGTTATATGCTCAATAACCCCAAGATCTGTGTATTCTGCATATGAAATTGTTTCAGAAATGAGTTAGTAGATTGATATACTTGTTTATATAAAAAAGTTCAATCAGCATTACTGGAGATTCACTTTCAGTAACAGATTTTGAACCCGTTCTACATCCTAATGGACAGACATATCTAAATAAAATCCTGATCTAAACCTTGCAGTGTTACAAAAGATTATAAACGTTAATTAGTAAGTGCAATCCATTGTTTTTACATACCATCTATGAAATATTGGCAAACATATCAATAAATCTGAATAGAAGCATTGTGAATGTGGCTTTCTTCTATGTCTGAAGTGAAGTGATGCTATGTTGCTTTTCAGTGTAGTGGATTTTTTCAGTTTAGAACATGCTGAGCCTTACTGTAATTTGATTGGATGACAATCGTCCACTCTCATGGACTGCAGGCTTTAAATTAGATGAAGTAATCAGTAACCGCAAAAAAACATGACATAAGCTGACATAAGATAGGGTGTACTAAGATGAGCCGGATTTCCACAAAAAAATTGGCATAATTTGATTAAAATATGGTTAAAACATTAACATAATATTAGTTGCTGTGGCAGAAATTAATTTATATTTGAGCAATGAAATATTTATTTCATTTTTTTATTGATCAAAAGTTTTACTGATCAGAAGTCCTCATTGTCACATGATTCTTTATGTTGTAAATCATTCTATTATGTGTATTATTTTTATAATGATTAATGTTAAAAAGGGGGTTGCATACATATGCAGGTTTTTCAGTAGCGGAAGTTTTTTTACAATCCTATTTGCTGAAATAATAACAGAAAAACTCATCAAGACTTTCAGAAAAGAAAAAAAACTAGTGTGAGACTGACGATGGCAGCCAGAGAAAGGAAAAAGGTCAAATTTACTCTCAGCCCCATAGACATTGCATTAGTAACGCCTCGCACAAGCTGTAATTCGTTTTCTGTAATTGTACCAAAGATGATATAATACGTTCATGAATGCATATAAATGTTCATACGATTTTTTCAAAACATTAAAAACTTTCAAGGATTTAAGATTATGATGATGACACGCCATAACAGCCTTGTGAAAAGGGTTTATATGGAAGTTTTGCCTGACATCAATAACTGATAAGTCTGTACATGTAGAAGCCCATACACGATGTATAGTTGGATAAATACACTTACCTTGTAAATAATTAGTGATTTAAAAGCTAAATACAAAGAACATTTTTAGTTAATTTGCAAATTGATTTGAGTGCATTGTGACTTGGTTGGCAACACAGTGGCGCAGTAGGTAGTGCTGTTGCCTCACAGCAAGAAGGTCGCTTGTTCGAACCTCGGCTGGGTCAGTTGGCCTTTCTGTGTGTAGTTTACATGCTCCCGTGGGTTTCTTCTTGGTGCTCCGGTTCCCCCCAGTCCAAGAACAATTGGTACAGGTAAATTGTCCGTAGTGTATGTGTGTGAATGAGTGTGTATAGATGTTTCCCAGAGTTGGATTGCGGCTGGAAGGGCATCCGCTATGTAAAAACATGCTGGATAAGTTGGCGGTTCATTCCACTGTGGCGACCACGGATTAATAAAGGGACTAAGCCGAAAAGAACATGAATGAATGAATGAATGAATGAATGAATGTGCCCTGGTAACATACTGCATTTTTGGCAATATAACTGTTTTGCTGGTTAGGATTTGTAGAAATAGTGTTTTCTTTTTCATTGTCACTATTTAATGCATGCTTATTGGGGAAAAAATTATAGACCCCAAACTTTTGGGAAAAAGAAGAACATTGACTGTATGTAGATCAGATTTGTAATGTTATTATAGTTGTAATTTACCTGCATTCTCTCTAGATAACCAGAAATCTGCTGCAAATGATGTATGTGTTTTTTACTGCTGTCTTATGCTGTTCACACCAGACGTGGACCTTGCAGCTAAATCACGATATTTGCGCCTAAATATCCGCGTGAATATTTGAGGTTTTTTTTACGCTTTATTCGCACGTCAAACCCCGCTTTATTCGCACGTCAAATTCACTTCAGAACAGACGCGGATTCGCGTGATGGGCAGGACATTTGTCTGCCTGGTGACTCTAGCTTTGTTGCTAAATGGCTAACATGAATTTTATTAAGAAAATAACAGTGTTTATGTGCTTTATGAAGGCTGAAAAACAGCGTTGATACGTTTAGGGCCGTGTCTGAGTCCACTAGATCCTTTCAGAGGTGCATCCAGCTCTGTGACCTCATAATCTCCTCCAGAAACAAAACCTGGATGATGGAGGCTTTAAGGGGTGCTTTTAACTGAGCCAAGCCCAGTTTGATGAACTGTTGTCGGTGTTGGCTGGAGGATTTCCCCTGGGACATCAACAACAGGCGCTACGTCACAATCATGCCCCCACAAGAGCAAGCTTCTGATTGGTTAACGCGGCACGATTGTCTTCTTAAGTTCAGATTTTTTAACTTGAGCGATACGCGCAAAACGGCCAATTCGCGCAACGCCATTCGCACATACCACACCATTCGTGCAATTTGCGCCACACCATTTGCGACGTAGGATGTTTATTCATGCGTTTGCATTGACTTAACATGTAAATCACTTGCGCTTGACGCTCCTTCTGCGTCTGTTGTGAACACAGCATTAAAGTGCTTAAAGATGCAGTATGTTTGTTTGACACCCAGTGGTTGAACTAGGTAATGCATTCCTGGATCTAAACACACAAAAGCGCAGGTTGCCAGATTGAGGACCAACAGGCCTTACCATTTCGTTGGAGTGCAGTGAGTGCACTATTCTGTGCTTGTGAATGGCTGTATTTACATTTCTGCCGGGTTTCGTCTGGTGCAAAACTCATCCCTTAGTGTGTTGTTAGGACATGGGGTTACAACGTGCTCTCCTAATGTTTATGCTCATGATATTTATATTATTTGTTAATTAATAACCTCATGTGGAACTCTTGAAATCTGCATCTCATTTTGGAGTCTGCTACTGTCCACCAGAGGTCTCATTTCGGTCATGGACACATGCTTTGAGAGCCTTCCTGACTGAATGAACGAAATATGCTGTTTTCCAGCAAGGCAACCCAGGCTGCTGAAACATAATTGGCTAAACTGGCATTGGGCGGGTTAAATGACCAAAATAAAGATGGTCAAAATGGCGCGTAGAGCACATTTTAAAAGAAGAATATCTGACTTCAGCATTGTTTTTCAGATAATCAAGAATGTTCACTTAGCATGTTTCTGAAATATCTGCAAACATATTATGGTATCTGTATGCTTTAGAAGAGTCAAAAACTTACATACTGCACCTTTAAGTAAGGCATATATAAAGCAACTTTGACTGAAAGTTATATTTTTTATTATATGCACACCTGTAAATAAAAATGCCAAAATGTTATTTTTTTCATAACAGCGTCATAAATGAGACATGCTACATAGAACATTTCAGTAATTAATTATTTTTTAAAAATTCCACCCATAAAGTAATCTTTTTTTACACTCTAAAGAAGCTTTTGTGAAATGAAAAGAATTTATTAATGTTTAATGTTCTGCAGCTGTTCATTTAAGAGTCGTGTTTCACCAGTCGGATGTTATTGATGAATGGAATGTTATTTTTGTTAATATTTTAGTATCAGGCTGAATTGTGAGGATAGCGCACACCATGTTTCCCATTTAATACCTTCTGTACAATGCTGTTCTGTTTATGACTTATATCTAACATAAAACAGACCTCTGGTTCCACTGACACATCTTAAACACTGAGCAGACATTTGGCTCCAGCATATCCCTTACTTAATATCTGTTCCACCAAGCTACAAATCTGCATCACACTGGGCATTTCAAAGGGCTGATGTCTGACCTCCACATCTTGTAGGATTTAAGCCTTTTTGCCATATCA